CGCGGGCCACAGAATGCAAAAAGAAAAGGCTCCCCTCTTTTGTCCTCAGGGCATATGAGGGCATAAGGTCGCGCTGATTGGCCGATGATCCTTACCGCCCATAGGAAATTCCAACGTCCAAGAATAGCCTTCGGCATTGAGAACCTTCTTCCTCAGGACATATGCATCCCACACAGCACAGGGATGTCCCTAACTGGACGACTTGTCCCTGTCTCTATAGGATATCCTGAAGACATCTTTCGGACGGTTTCGGACATCTCGTAAGGGATGTCTTCGGGACGTCTTTTAGACATCTTCAGTCGATATCTTAGAGATATCCCTTTTGGGATATCTTTAAGACATCCTTAGTCGAATGCTTCTGGATATCCTGGAGGGGATATCTTGAAGATATCTTCAGTCGAACGCTTTTCGATATCTTGAGGATATCTTAGGAATGTCTTTTGGCATCTTCAGTGCTTCTGTCGCCTTCTGTCAGGTGCATAGCTTCGACAGTAGATGTCTCCCGTGAGCCCTGATCTGCAACCTCAGATCTTTTCTATCGAATTCATCTACTTGATTTGTCCTGAGGATAAGTAAGGATTTTTGTACCGTACGTCAGGGAAAGTGAAGAAAAATTGCGGTCCGAATTTTTATTCCGCTATATTCTATTGAATGATGAGTGATCGTCATGTCTGGATACAACTATCTTGGTTGGAGGCCTGAGCCCATACTAATCTTAAGGTGTAAGGCTAAATGATCTCGTCCATGACCCCTCGTGTAAAGGTGCTAAGTTTCGTCCCTTGTAGATGTGTTTCCTATGATGGGGGCCCCTTTAAGAACAGGATTTTCTTCACCCATAATCAACATTCTAATTGGTCAAGAACTTAGAATTAGGTGTTCCTAGATCAAATAGAGACATCTTCGAAATTAATCTGTTCTGTGCGGTAGGAAATGAGTCCATTGCAGATAGGAAGGTGCTTGCAAGTACTACCTGGGACTTCTCACTTGTCCCAGGGGGATATTTCTGGATCATCCTTCGGATATACTTGTTCTGCAAGAAAGAGACATCCTTGGGATGTCTTTACGCCCAGACATTTTAATATCCCTATGATGTCCCTACTCCTTGTCTCTGGGACATCGCACTTGTCCCAAGGGGATATCTTTGGGATATACCTGTGCCGTGTGGGGTGTAGTCACCATCTTTAACCCTCTGAGGACCACAAGTGGAGAGGTAGGGCATCACCTCAGAGCCCAGGTTTTTTCCTCCTACGATTAATATTATGGTTTACTAGCAAACAAACAAACTCGCTATGGTCGCGCCTTCGGCGCTCCATTGTCCAGGTTAGTGATTCATTCATTAATTTTTTTTCAAAGTGGCAAAAACATATAAAAAGTATGTTCTTGTCGAAATGTGTGCCGAGAGAGAACGAACCAATATTTCCATCAAAATAATTGCACCAATTATTTATTGTGCGCCTGATTTCAAATCTCTTCATAATTTGTCCTGAGNGCACTTTTGTGTACTGTGAGAAAGCGAGACTTACGTCTCCATCTCGTGGCAAGGAGGACAACTTTACAATTCTCTAAAACTTCTAAGTCCATGTTGTATCAGAATGTTGTCGCTACGTTGTCGATGTCAAGAGTGTCAACATTCTCTCAATGTTGATAGCTAATGTTGCAATGACATTCGTAGAAGTGTCGCAGCAACATTCCAAGGGAAAACATTGAAGCAATGTTTTCTCAATGTTGTACAGCAACTTGCAACATAGAGCAACATAGGCAACATTTCGAAAACGTTTCATCAACATACTGTGTTACTTGGGATATAACTTTTTTTTAAGATTTCAAGTATTCATGACCAAAATGTTGCATTTCTTGAAAGCCTCTGCTTCGTTCAAATTAACCCCTTTTGCCAATGCAAATCCCCCAGAATACATTTTCTCATTTTCTTTGGTTACGTTTTGAAGTTTTGAAATAAATTCATGATGAATGATATGGGTGTGCTACTTAAGCAGATCTACTTGATCAGCAAACCAAGTCAGCTGGGTCCACTTCAGTCTTGAACTACGAGGGGCATTCAGAAAGTTCTGGGTATCTTCTTTATTCATCACCATTATATTGTGACTTTTCAACTTACTCCCCCCGAGTTTGATGCACTTCCTCCAGCGTAGAATCAGTTTCCTTAGACCATCAGAAAAAAATGTATGGAGCGTTTCTGATCCATCTGTTTAGTGCAGCTTTCATTGCATTGAGGGAATCAAAACCCACTCCTCGCAGAGGCTTCTTCATCTCTTAAAAAAAAAAAAAAACTGACTGGGACGGACATACACAGACATGGACAAATGCCACAAGCGGCAACACAGAGTAGAAGAAAGGGAATTCTAATCGGACATCCCTGACGGCATTGCCCCACCTTCTCACGCGTCCTGTCAATGTATCTCGTTTTCACGGGCCTGGGGAAGGTGGTGGCAACTTCGATGCCACTCCGGCCATAGATGCCATCGCTGCACATCGGGCCGCCAGGGCCGATGTGGCGGGTGCTATTGAGGTGCACCAAGCCCCTACCTCTCACGCAATGGAGCACAGAGCCTATGCTTCAGCCCAAGGGAGAGCAGGTAGTACCCGAAAGCAGCCGGGTGATCTGTCGGCCCAGGAGAATTCCGCCTGCCGCCGGTCGGATTCGAACCTGGACCTCCAGCGTGCGCCCGGGTCCCTATCCACTGAGCCACGGTAGCTTCCTCAGCTCGCTGAAGAGGTGGTAGTCACTGGGAGCCAGATCTGGCAAGTAGGCGGATGCGGGAGCAATATCCACCTCAATTCTGTTGTGGCTACTCAGTTAAGTGCACAGTGTAGGGCCAGTGCATTGTCCTGCTGAAGAAGTGGTCCTGCATGCAACTTCCCAGGGCGTTTTTCAATAATAATCCTGTCGGAGAGGACCCAAAAACAGATTAGAATACAGGATGAGTCAAAAGTCACTACACGACTTTAAGCAGCTATAACTCACCACGGAAGGCATTAATTTGCAAACGGTGTTACTCATGAAAGAGCGTTCGTTAATTGACAAAACAACATGGACCATGAAAGACCAATAAGAAATGGGATGAGCCTGCACAAATCGACATTTTTCAACATAAGAGTGATAAGAGTACAACGGACGCTCCATTCGCGGATATTTTCCTGTTAATTTTTGCTGCTCAAAATGGTTTTCTGATAATGCCGATGAACTTTCTTTGGAGGAACGTGTCGCCATCGTTAACTTATTCTCTATCTGTGAAGGAAATCTTTCCGGAGTGAAGCGTCGCTTCCCTTTAAGGACAGGTGGATTGGCCGGGTCGGGTCTATCAAGTGACCTCCCAGGTTGCCGAATCTGACTCCGCATAACCCGAAAATTCGCGCACGATAGTTTAACTGAAGCAACACATCACTGAGAAGATTGCTTGAGTTGGCTTTCGTTGACGGCTGGCGTGATCGAGCTTGATGGTGCTCAATATCATGGCCTGTAATTACAGTCATATTTACGCCAAATAAGTAAATGAATTTTTTTTTTCAATGCTGCAGATTTGTTAATTATTGCACGCTCTTTCTTATGCAAGAAACCGTTTGCAAATTGATGCCTTTCTTTCCGAGTTATAGCTGTTCAAAGTCGTTCAGTGACTTTTGACTCACCCTGTAGTATTCTGCATTCATTGTGGTACCTTTTGGTAAGTAGTCGATTATTATTATCCCTTTGCAATCCCGGACGTTATCATAACCTTCCCCAAAGAGGGAACGAGCTCGAGTTCGAGCTTTCAAAGGAGGTCCTTTTTCAGATTGGCACCACTCCCTAGGTCATGATTTGGTCTCGAGATTGAAGTAGGGAAGCCACATCTCATCTTGTGAGAATACGGTCGAAAAAACTCTCTTCGTATTCTTGTTTAAGTTGAAGCAGCTCTCGACACTTTTCCATTCGATCATCCTTTTGTTCAGGCCCCAAGAGGTGGGGCACCCATCTGGCAGAAACCTTCATCTAGGGCTAGTCTTAGGCATGTGCCACATGTGCCCCCGCACAGGGCGCAAATTCACTAGGGGCGCCAAAACGTGACTGAATATACGAAGCAATAATGGATACTACTCAGTTTTACCTCAGAATGTGAAAGTGCCATCCATCCAGGCGTCAATTTGGACGCTAGAGATTGACCCTTCCCCATTCGGGGGGGGGGGGGGGGGGGGGGGGGGGGGGGTTTTTTTGCATGGGGGGCCGAAATAGCTGGGTGGGCGGGGGGGGGGGGGGGGGGGGGGGGGGGGAGGGAGCGTTGGGAGTTTCTTTGCATAGGGCGCCGAAATAGCTAGGGCCGACCCTGACTTCATCATACCGAGATGTTCATGGAGAATCTCATGAGCCTTGCCGGTGCTCACCCCCAGGGTAGTAGCAAGCTCCTGAACGGTAACTCGTCGATCTTTCATTAGAATATTTTCCGCAGTGTGAATTTTTTTAATTTATCGGTGGTAGCCATTCTAGGGCGACGCTGCAAGGGTCGTCTTCTAAGGTCTGGCAACCATCCTTAAATCGCTCCAGCCATCAGTTAACTGTACTCTTCGATTCTGCAGATTTTCTAAAGACAGCCTGCAATTTCTGAATAATCTCAGAAGCACGTGCATTTTCTTTCCACAAAAAGAAAATAATAGCTTGCTGAGCTTTCACCACGTCTTCCATGGCTTCGAAAAATACAACTGAACTGAGATGAATAACTCTGCTTAGGAGATTATTTGGGCAACAATACTGAATTCAACAATAAACCAGGTAAGCTTTTATTTTATCCAAAACCTCCGATCAGAATAGGTTAAGCTCGATTTCCTTTTATACACTAACAGAATTCCCAGAACTTTCTGAACATCCCTCGTAGTTTGCAAGTGAATTTGTTGGATCATGATATTGGTACAGCCAAAAACAAATGCCTTTAGGAACAAATAAGTGCACTTCTGTCCAGCCAAAAAAGGAATACTGTTGCTGCAAAGAAAAAATTAGCAGTAAATTCTCTCTTCAGGGCTGAAATGATAGTTTATTACTGGCAATGATATTGAATAGGCGAACAGTCTCTTCTACTCAATGTGGGAGTGAGCTCAAATACGGGGGGAGGGGGGAGGAAGGGAACTCACTCATGGGAGGAGGATGAACAGACTACATATCTTTTTGAAGTGGATATCTCTGGTTAACAGAGTCACTCCCTGGCACCAAATATGAGGATGGTCCCAGGAATCTCCGAAACAGGACATTTGAACCACGTGACAACTGGCGTTGCCCCTTCAAGTGATCCCAACAATCCAGCCATGATTTATAGGATGGCATCAAAGGTGGTCGCCCTGCCACCAGGCTACGAGAAAGAGATATTGAATAATCCAATGAAAGAATACAATACACTCAGGTTGGTTAAGAATGCACTTGAGAACATCCTGATGTTACTACATACCCTGAAGAGGATACTACCATGCAGTTGGAGACAACATGGAAGGGGTACATGTATGCTTGCACCATCATCTGAAACACATAAAAGTTCCCCCATTGAAAGTCAATAAATCAGGAATGTTGACGACGAAAAGCTTTCAAGAACAGAATGCATGATCCAATCCCAGAGCACTACATTAACTTGGGGCAGGAGAGGCAGAAAATATACATGTAAGTGCACTGGCGAAGGTCTGTGGGAGTCCCCGGAAAGTAACCTGGAGAGGGGGAAAGCCAGGGGCAGGCAAGATGAGTGGAAACTTAAGTGTGAAACCCTCTCCTATTCCTTGCTTGCTCCTATTTTTGCTCTTCCATCTTGTGTTGCGCGTGATTCGATAATGAACCTTTACATCTCCGCATAATGAAGTGTCACTGTATACCTCCAATCAACTAGGTTACTTTTTTTTGCATCCTTCCGGTATGGGTTGGTTAAATGGCAAAGGGCTTCAGTGTCCTTCTTTGCTTGCGTTTCACTATTTATTAGGGCTGTCAATTTCATTAGATTAATCGACAGATTAGCCGATTAAAGTATTAATCGCGATTTAAAACAATTAGTCGTAATTAATGGAATTTTAATAGACCTCTTTTTCTAATGCCTCTTTTTTCCCTCATAATTTTACCGTGTAGTTCATAGTTTTGCAAAACAACAGAAAACGAATGCTTTATCAAGGGAATGAAATGTAATGATGGCTGATGGCTTATAGAAGGTAGTCGTTTTCGCACTGCTCACTCTTCCTCAAAAACGACATACTATTTTTTGAAAAAGGGAACACAAAAACAAAGCCATCATTCTCAGACTACTCAAAAAAAAAGTTTCCTGATCCCTTCGCATCCACTAGCGTACTAGTACGTATCTCGTGTCCTTCTGCCTGGCTTACGGCCTTTAAGGGCTTAGCCTTGCAGGTCACGTCACCTCGCGCGACAGATTAAGGTAACAACTACCCGAAAAGTCGAAAAGAGCGACCGAAAAGTCACCGGATGCGAATGGGGAAAAAGAAGTTGTAACGAAGAAGCTGCAAGGGGAAAGCACAGAAGGAAAAGCGGAGTTGGGCAGGGGTATGGGATAGGAGAGCGGGTTATGTAAAGACTGGGGACTGAGAGGCGTATGTATAAGCGCACCGGCGAACGTCTGTGGGGGCCCCCGGAAAGTAAAGAGGGGAAAAGCTGGGGGCAAGCGAGAGAGATAGAAACCCTCCCCTATTCCTTGTTTGCTCCTTTTTTTTCTCTTCCATCCTGTGTTGCCCGTATATCGTTAATGAATCTTTAAATCTCCATGTAAAAAAGTGTCACATTATATGTCCAATCAATTAGGTAACATTTTTGCATTCTTCCGTTATGGGTTGGCTAAATGGCCAAGGGCCTCAGTGCTCTTCTTTGCTTACGTTTCATTATCTGGCTAAGTTGTAGCCATTTTCTTTCCGACTGGAATGTGTCACTTGTAGGATTAACTAGTGTATGGATAGTAACTGCTATGTTGGCGACTGCATCGCCTTGAGTAACTTCCCAAGCAGCATGTTTACGCAAATTTAACGTAAAATGAATGCAAATTGTTTGTCCGTTTTATATCACTTTTACGCAAACCATCATCAAGATAATGTCAACATGTTTGCAGAAATGTCACCTCTGTAATACGTAAACGGTAATATAAAATTAACGTAAATTTTACGTAAAATTGACATTCCCGTTTACATCCCCAACAGCATGTTTACATTCATTTAACATAAAATTGATGTTAATTTCTCCCTAACATTCATGCGTATTTAACGAGACAATTCGTAATTTTGAAGGGAATTGATACATTGTATTTCTCCCATTCCTTTCCATACTTCGAAACTCAAGGTTACTTGGACGAGTACACAAGTACTCAAGAGTACCAAGATGACTCACTAGTTCCTCCTCCTGTGCCCGGACCTCGGGAGGAGGAATAGATGTTTAGAGGAGCTCTCTTCCATTACAGATAGAGAAGGTATAATACTTGTGGAGCTGTGATTCTACTCTTCCCTAATCCCGTACACTGCTGTAATAACAAGCTTAGCTTCAGCATTTAATGATTCCCTGAGTCATATATTATTTTAAAATATGTAACAGCTTTCCATATATATATTCATGGAATGCATAATAAAAAGTGGAAGGATGGTAATAAAAAAAAGATACTATATCAGGAAAGCCAGTACTTAATAGCATTTGTAGGGATGTGCAGGGAACAAGTGTTCCATCTAGTGAGGAATCTTGGTATTGCAACTGCGGGATGATCACCTAAAGTTTCATATGGGAAGTGTGATGTTAACTTTGCATGAACTTGATATCATGTACTTCACGCCAGATGGAGTGACGTCTAGTTTACGTAAAATACACGTACACTTTGGTGACGTAAATATAGGAACGTAAATTTTACCTAAACGTGATGTCACTTTCATGGCAATCGAAAGAAATATACATTGTTTGCAAAAAATTGATATGTTTATGTAAACATGCTGCTTGGGTTCCTGAGGCTCGCCTAGGTGTTGGGTATACACAAGCAGAATCATTCCCAACGCCTAGGACATGATTCAAGGAGGAACTAAGGGATCGATTAAAATTCGATTAATTGATTAAATGGCTCACGATTAATCGATTAAATTTGTTAAACCATTGACAGCCATACTTTTAATATATCCCACTCCAATTCAGTTCAAAAGTGATTCTTTTCAGTATTTTTGTTGCATTTGAATACTCATCTATGCTTCATTAAACAGAAATAAATGCTGAAGGTTCCAAAAAGCAGTCACAATACAGAAACCAATATACAGGGTTATTATAAAGTCACCACCCTATTTTGATTGGCTGTAACTTTTCAAGGGACAGTCAGATTCAGGTGATATTTGACAGAGGTTCATGAGTCAAGGAGGTTTTCATCCCATGTCACAAGATGGCACTGCATACCGATAGAGGGCGCTGATGTCAACCACAGCACCACACTACTACTTGCTGTCATTTTTTAGGCTTGGGAAAAAAATACGTCCAGTCATATGAATCTCTCTGCCAAATATCAGCTGCATCCAAGAGTTCTTTCAAAAGATATGGTCAATGTTGGATGGTGACTTGTAATAATCAAACTTTGTTTAGTCATAACTTTTTAAGGATTTCATAATTTTACATTAGTATTTCTGTACAATAGAAGTACATAAGTACTTCTGCACTTCAATTTAAAAAAAAGAATTTTAATTTGGTCATGGGTGTGCAACATGGCCTCCAACCCCCAGGTGCTAACTTCCTAACTACCAGAGGTGGGCAGTATTTAAAATAGTTGCATTTAAATACATATCACAACATGTACTTGTATTTTTTATTCGAAATACAGTTCTCTGCAAAAAAAAAAAGTATTTTGAAATACATTTGACAAAATTTATAATAATTGGTTTCATGGAACTTCAAACATGGCTGCCTCAGAAGGCTTGCCTTCTTTATTGGATGCGAAGTTCTTCAGTATTGTTGAAAGAGAGGGGCAAGGCCAAATGTGCTGCATGCTCTACAGAGAAAGTGATTAATAGAACTCTAACTGCAACATCCAACTTCTTACAAAATTGAAGGTTGATTGTGTTGCAATATCTTGGCATGCATATACTAACCTAACATATCCTTGGCCAAAACAAGGTTTTTGATTTGTGATATATTGGCCATCTTTAGACCTAGGCTTTGTGCTAGCCCAAATCTTGCCATTGCAGGTTAATATTTATGTTCTTAGCTTTCAGTGAGTACATCCAGATCTCATTGAGGATTAAAAATTGTATAAAGGGGAGCAGTCTGGGATTCAGAGAGGAAAACAGAAAGAATGTCATGCTCAGTCAATGTGCTGTGAAGGCCAATGGTCAGAACTTCTGAAGGGTTCCTGATTTTGGACAAAATCTTAAAGGCATGATGTAAACTTGAAAATTTAATATTTTGTATTTGAAATAATATTATTGGGTTGTATATATATTTTGTATTTACAATATATTTTTTAAATGGGCATTTGTATTTTGTACTTAAATACTCAATCACTTGTATTCTGCCCAGCTCTGCTAAGTGCACAATGATTATAAAGTCACCACCCCAATTTGTTTGGCCATAAGTTGTCAAAGGATATTTGGATGTAGCTGATACTTGACAGAAAGGTTCATGAATCAAAGAGACTTTTTCATATACAGCAGAATGGGGCTGCATGCTGATAGAGGGCACTGTAGCTGACTGCAGTGCCCCCTATCTACGTTCCACACAATTTTTAAGATAAGAAAAAAAAGCCTTATAGGCCCAAGAGCCTCTGTGCCAAATATCAGTTGCATCTGAAAGCCCTTTCAAAAGATATGGTCAAAGAAAATTGGATGGTAACTTGAAACCATCTGACTTTGTTTGGTCAAATGCTCAGAAATTGCTCAATTTGGAAAAAAAAAGGTATGTTTGCTTTCTCTGAGTGCACCCTTTTGAAATATGTACATATCATTAAAATCAGTATAAGGGCAACATTTGGGCAAATAACTTCAATTTGAATTTTGTGATGATGGGAGCATAGACCATTACTGTGCTTAAGGTGTAATGATACACCTGTAAACTTTGTAATGGGATAATGCATGGCTCAGAGATATGTTCTGAAAAAAAAACTAGACAACCATCTCAACACCTTGTATATGTCCAATATCAAGAGTTTATCTATCTTACCAATTTTGCTTGAATATAGGAATCGTACTTTCTCCCATTGAAAACAGTAGGACTTTTTTAAAATCACTACTAGCGGCGTGCGGCCGCTACGCTGGCCGTCTAATGGATGGAAATTTGAATGTTTACATAAAGATACAAAGCAGTTCGCTCCTGCGCTCAGCATTCGCTGCCTCCCGTTGTTCCGCGGTCTGCGCGGCCCTACGCTTCCGACGTGCAGCATTCACTGGTGCGCGATGTTCATCACTCGTCGAGCCCAACGACCACCACGACTAGCATTTCCCAAAGCACCGTTTTCTGCAGTTCGCACCACAACTGCGGTGGCAAACGTGTTTTCCGCGCCAATCGCTTCATCTGCGGCGGCTGCCTCAGCGCTGTCCCGTGCAACCTCGACCGACATTTCTTCGCGTTCGATCATACCATCGCGAAGAATCGTCACCGTCAATATCGACGGGAAGAGCGGTCCGCTTGCGCGACGCATGAAACGAAGAGTTTACTTATTACGTTATTATTTTTTACTTCATCAATCGTGAAAACTAAAGAAAAAAATCGACCATGACATGAAACGCAAATAGAAGAGCATCGCATGGTTGTGACGGCGCGAACCGCCACACCTCACATAAAAAAAATAAACTTCACACTGAAACAATTCATGAACAAAGAATGCGTTCAAGTGGAGAACCTGCAATCGGTTGGTGGAAACGCGATACGCATTCACAGTGAGCTACGTCAATGATCGGACCTCACTAAATATAAAGCCTAATTATGCAATGAGATGCCCTGGCCTACGGCCTAGAATGACAGGGCATCTTAGGCCTCGCGCGTTAGGGGTGACAGCCACCACAACTTTCGGCCTCTTTCAATTAAAGTATTAGATATACATACACACGTGCACATATTCAGAGGGTGTTCAATTTATTGGCTAAACAGATAACAAGCAGTCTCCTCTTAGTGTCTTGGATCTCCCTATGGTTATGTTCTCTAATGCTCATAAGGATAAGTTCAACACATTGTAATGATACTTGAATTAGTCTTGGTGAAAATAATTTACTGTCATAGGATATTCAATTAAGGGAAATGCATGGAGGAAGCAATATTGCAGCAAAAGTTGTCTCAGCAAATAATAGTGCAGCACCTGAAGGATATGGTAGTCACTGTGTTCCCTTCTGCTGATGAGACAAGTCTGATGTAGTGCATGTGCCAGCAAAATGAAACACCTGCTTAGAAATGGAAATACATAAAAAATGCAATCCAGTTACTCAAATATTTTATAAGAGAAGAGCTTCTTCCATGAAATCTACATATCCCCAAAATGTAGTGCATAAAAAAAAACTGCCACAAGCCTCCTAATGCTACCAGCACTTACAGGGAATTATCATATTACCAGAAGTGTTACACTTTTCCAAACAGCAATGAATCCTTTCCTTATAAATTTCAATTTCCACCCAGATGTCACATTTTGCTTACATAAGCAATTCCTCATATTGATCCCATCAGCAGGTCGGCACATAGTGACTCACAGCAAAGCTCTAATAAATATTTCTTGAAATAATTGCATGATTCTGCAAATAATTCAAGTACAACAGTAATGTGTTGGCCTTGCTTTTAGAAAAAGCTGAGGACACTGCTCAAGAGAGATTCCAGACACCAAGAAAGAGAAGAGAAAGAAATTAACTTTTGTTCAATATAAATCTAATACCCTGTTCATGTTGAAGACATGTTGAAGACATGAACAAATAATGCCTGGTCCATACTAGACAAGAAATGGCATTACCTTTCATAGGTTTCTCATGCATTTCAAGGAGCACTTGAAAAGGTTTACTGACATTCAGCAGAAGTGATAAGTGCTCCACATCCTAACATCCTGAATGACACCCTATTTGTTTCCAGCTAATTATCATGCTAATGATATAGTATTTACATGGGGAGGTTGAGGCATGTTATGAATCCATAAAGTTATGTAAACTGTCACTTAGTGCTGTGACTTAGTGCTAACCTCATTTGAGCATGTTGAATATTCAATGACCAACAATGAGGATATATTACCCTGGCATGAAACTCACATTTATTATAGGAGGGATGTACTGAAATGTCTGTGAAGGTCGACTCCAAGTTTTTATGCAGTGAATGAGCACATTGGCTATCATTATAGTTAGTGCTTCTCCCAGCAAGCGTGGAATGAGTCCACTGAAGAAGCCCAGGATCCCATTTGTGTGATACACCTCGAACAGCGAGTCAAACAACCCCCTAAAAAGACAATGAAACAAGAGCTACAACTGATTATGTGCAGTGAGATGAATCAAAGAAGCAATTTATGTACAACTGATACCAGTACCTGGAATTTCCTCAAAATTAGCTGCAAGGTATTGGTCCACATTATGGCTAAGGATTCTTCCTTCAAATAGTGGCAATTTCCAACCATGTAGTGATGAGAAAGCACAAAACTTAGCTCGAAATCTTACCTGTATTTCTTTTCACCACCAACAAACTGAGCCATCATCCTGACTGCCACCACTGAAAATAAAAATATCAAGCAAGCAGTGAAGGAATTATGGGTCCCATTGGTTATCAAGGGAACCATTTAATCTTTCCAAGCCAGTTATTCAAAGTTGACTTTGGGTAACTCCTAAGTAACAAATTGAATTAGGCTTCTTGTGACACATATTGACATATGTTACATGGGTACAACACAATCACCAAGAGCCAATTCAATATAAAATATATATGTATATCTGCCTTATTTAAAGTAAGATCTACCTATCACTTTATATCCTTCTAGTGCAAAGGTGAAGAATATATTTCATATTACCTGAACTCTTGAATTTTACTTTCAGGAAGTAAAAGTGCTAAAAGCTGTTGGTGACTCATGCTATATGGAGTTGAACTACCAAAGAATAATAGATGTACAACATTTTTTGGATTGAACATATATATTTGCATTGCACTTATGCACAAGCTGTGTGCAGTGTGGTGATGCCAATCAAAGATGGGGCAATGCTATGTTTGATATCAACTACTAGATTAAAATTTTTTAGTATTTTGTCCCTGTTTGGATAGAATTACCAAGATGCTTCATAGGGATGGGAAATTGGAAGTTCTCTGGATCACGGTAGAAGCAAAACAAAAAAAAATAAAAAAGCATGTGGAGCCCTTTTTATTTCTCTCCCTCCAATTTTAGAAAAGTCATATATGAGCTAATATGACAGCAACATACAGTGTTCATGCGTCATCAAATATAGCAGACTTATTTAATCATATGTGGTGCAGCCAAATGTGAGTTACACAAGAACATGTATTCAATATGTAGTAGGGGTAAGTTGTACCAAGTGGTATGAAAAAAAAAAGGTGTCCTGTTTGAAATCTTATGAAACTGACAGTGGAAATTCTAGGTTCATGATTCTTGTATATTACATTGGAAACCCTACAAAATTTGTTTCCTGAAAGTTTCAAGAGTCTAGGTCATCTGGATAAAAAGTGACAGTTATTAAGAGAGCAGTCATAAAATCAAACCTTTTCCACACATGAGGTGGATCCAGTCTTTGCAATTCCCAAATACTTCTCTCCTTTCATGCCATAAAGACTGTTTTAAGCTGTATCCTCATCATAGTATTCTTGATTGTGTAGTGCCTTTTGGCCTCAGGTTAGAAGGTAAGACCTAAAATTGATATTGTATTTAGAGTAGAAGGATTGAAGGAAAAGGGAGCTTCCTATCAAATTGTGAACTCTGTTCTGAGGAGACTCTTCCCTCCCCACTCCAACCCTTCTTTCAAAAACATCCCTTTAGTGTAGTGACTTTTCCTTTGTACGAAATGACATGACACTGTACAGTCAAGAGCATTGCAATAAGAATGCAGCCATAAACAGGCTTTTTAGCAACAATGGGGCAGAGTACTGCTGAAACTGCTGCCTCCTGATAGGCAGGGTAGGAAAACCTTTGTGAACCAGTGAATGAGGTTCGCAGGAACGGAGATGCCTTTTCCCGGGAAATATGATGGGTAGGGTAGAGATAGAAAAAATATTCATGCAGGAGGTGGGGCAAAGGATGAAGGTAATAAACGAGATTTTCAAGTCAAAACATGGAGGAAAATCTATATTTTAGGTCCTTTCCGTTGTGGAGCGACAGCCGTATTATCTTTTCATTTTCTGAATATGATTGGACCCTCAACCGTGAAACCTGCTGAGCTATTCACTGAAAGTTAATGAGAACGTGAATGCAACATGAACCCCACCACCCTATCTTGCATGTCGTCGAGGGGTCGAGGCTCGATCTAGTGAATTGCGATCACCCAATTCTTAGCTGTCATCACGAGTATGCTTTGTGAAGCACGACCGTACGTATGCCTCTATCGTAATAGTACCTGGAATACTCAAAATGTGCTTTTTCACGTGAGATAATGAGAATATCAAAGACTGAAATTATTTAAAAAGAATTGAACGACTCAAAGAAGGCAAGGTTGCCGACAGCAGAGTTATATTAAATGCTGCAGTTTCTTGTGCTAAAAGGAGCTAAAGCATACTTTGACTCCTTCAGTTCCATTCCCTCTTCGTCTTTCCGCTCTCCATCTTCCCACACCTGTGCATTGTAATGGAGTTGTAGTAGCATGATGAGGGCTAGTGGTGAAAAAAACCGCATTCGATGATATCTGAAAACTCCGCCCGTAGTTAATCTTCTCCGGACTTGTTAGTTGTAAGCAAGTGTGCGTAAGTACCGTTTCACGCGTGACTCACAACTTTTGTTGAGTCGTAACTCGCACTGAAGTTCTGCGAAGGCACTTATCGTGATTGTGAGCGAACGTGAGTTTTTTTCCCTGGCACTATGGAGAAACCGAACAAATTATTAAATCTCCCACGTATTCGTCGTCTGAGAGCCAATTTCCTCAGTTCGGTCATTGTCCAGGCTAGTATCTATAAAGTAAACAGGATCACCTGAAAATTGGGACATGATTTTTCTGCGCGAGAACTTGCGAATAAGTAACCACCACGTGAACAAGGGTCATCCGGTTACCAGACAATTTCTTATTTTACTTCCTATTTTTTCAATACAAAAGGCCTATCTGAACGAAGTAATTTTTTCTATATACATTTTTATGGGGAAAGGAAGAGCCGACTCTCATGCGTGACACAACTCACGAGGAATCACGCGTGATTTTGCGTTAGTTCAATTCACAGACAATGATCGTGCCTGTCTGTGATTCTCAAATATTGAATCATGAATTCGCATGAAAGTGAGTGAAAACATGGCTTTCTTCTCGTGATCGTGAGGCGAAAATCACTCGCACCCACCTCTAGTTTCAAGTCTGTTAGCTGAATAATTAGAAGAAAAGAGGAGACATCCATAGTTTCCCTTCATGAATTCTCTTGTCCAACTTGTTATCCATAGAGGATGTAGCAGCGAAAATCCACTTACTGAAAATCTATTAATTTATTTATAATGAGAGGGAGGGGGGCGGTCTGCTTAGTTCGTTGGCATATCCTTCCCGGGAAATTCCCGGAAAATTTGTTGCCTCAGGTTCGCGGGAAGAAAAAATATTTTTCCTACACCTATTAGTAATAGGTGGAAAAGTGTAATTTTTATTTGCGATATATTATTCAACTGTTGGTCTTTTCTCAAACAACCTTGAGACTTCAAAACATTTATGGAACAAATTTAAGAGTGTTTCTGTGAAGAAAAAGCAGGCAAATCTAGCATTCCTACAGTAGGCTTTATTAGGCCGCAAACAGAATACTTTTTTGCACCTCCCAATAAATAGCTTCAAAAAACGAACACAGCAAATACAGTGAAAACTCGTTAACTCGAACTTTTAGGGACCGGGCAAATCGTTTCGAGTTATCCGAAGTTCGAGTTATCAGGAATCGCCCCCCCCCCAGAGGGCATCATGAATTACTGCTGTAGTCCAATCCTGTGATATTTCCTTTGAATTTAATAAAATTCTGATTTTAATTGCTGGCTGCAAGTGAAAAAAAGGTNAAAAGTCCCAAGAGAAAAATTTTTCCCCCCTTCTCACCCTGAATTCGAGTTAACCGTGAGAAATTCGTTATCGGGAGTGAAAATTTCATTCGAGATATCCGGAAATTCGAGATAAGCGAATTCGAGTTAAACGGAGCATTTAACATGGTGTCCTACGGGGTTCCGCCGGGACCAAGCTTTGAACTTCGAGATAAGCAGAATTTCGACTTATCAGGATTCGAGTTAACGAGTTTTCACTGTATAAGAATATGCATTGCATGTATATCTACAAGTAATTGTCATAAATGATATTTCCTTGTGTGTTGATCTCTCTACACTTCTTCCCAAGTTTCTCTTGCATCTCCTATATCATGTTCCCCCTTCCTGTTTTTTTATTTTCGCTCCTGGGGTAGCCAATTCTTTTTGTCAAATGTATTATCTGGTGACTTTCTGTCTCACTTTCAAGGTCTCATCTCAAGATCTTATGGGTTAATTTTGTGAGGGGATGTCTTTCATATATACCTTGATGAGTCTATTGTAGTAGCAATATGACTTAGGCAGCATAAGGAGAAAGGATATATTAGGTCCCTACTGGACAGCCTCTGATTAGAGAGAATTTATAACTTCAATCTGAGATTTCCCTCAATTGACTAGTTTATATTGGTTCTCAGTTAATGAATTAATTTTAAATTCAGACCACTTCTAGTGACTCACTAAGGCCTGAATGCTGAAACCTCTTTGGGCAAGATAAAGAGGTCTTTAAGCTAAAGAGCTCCTTTTACCCTATAGGAATCCATGGAATATTAAAGGGCAGTTAACTAAAGGAGGCTTCAGCATTCCGGCAAACAGTTTCAATATCACCTGTCATAATCATCAACACCATTATGAAAATATGATTGCTAGGCAATGACTTGCCTTGAAATGGATGACTGAGTATGATTCCAAAACTCCGGATTGTAACCTCTTTGCAAGTTGACACAGCAAGAGCATTGATGTCCTCTGCTTGTCTGGCAGACTTTGGATTGAGTTTCAGAGAAGCCTGATGTGAAGCAGAAAAGCATATGATCACTGAAATAAGCTTTGGCTTTACACCTGAATACAATCCAAGAAAACCTTCACGTTCCTTTATGTAGGCAACTGGAAAGAAAGAAAAACAAAATGAATTACATTTTCCCAGGAGGGAATAAAATTAATAACTTCATATTGAAAAGCAACTGATAGCTACTCACTATATTGGAAGATATTTGGAAGAAAAATGGCTGGTCTTCCAAATAAAGCTCTCCCAAAGTATGGAGGCAGTGGCTCATGACCTATCTGCAAGAGAAGTATTGCTGGATTGACTATAGCACATAACCCACTACTACTAGTTGCTGACAGAGATTTCAATCATGGAAATTATTTGCCATAGTATTTATCATAAGTCGAATGAAAAGTTGTTCACTACTATCAGTTTCCATTAAACTGTTATCTTGTAGGTATCATGTTTCTTTTCGATAATACGGGATAGAATGCTGTCATTTTATACCCGATACCCCAAGCCCATTCTATTTTAGGCTTATTCACAAAGGTAGGCCTAGGCTTCAATCTGTTTCAGAGTTTGAAAAAAGACCCCAGAATTAGCAGAAACACAAAAAAGCCACCTAAGGCTAAAGGATAAGAAAAAATCATGAGAAGCTTAGCTTTACAACCACAATGAAGTACATAATAGCCATTATTTTGCTTATTTTGCATGTATTACTATAACATTTTAACAGCTGTTCTATGTATTTTTCAAATAAAACTTGTAATTTTGACAATGTGCTTTACGCACAAGCATAGAGTAGATGGAAAAAATGGTGGGGTGTGGACAAAATAGGAGGGCACTGGACAAAGTGGAGGGCACAAGAACTATGGGACACTATCATCATGCATTTCATTGGTCTTTACCTTCTTTTCTTGAAAAGTAGAGGAGCACATGTCCCCCTCCCCCCCCCCCCTCTCAATACAACACAGCTGGCTTTATGTAGAGTACCAATATAATTAAACTATAGTTATGACAAAACATTTTGCTTTAGATGTATTTGATGCCCATTAAAAAAAATTCTACCAAGTCAAAAGTCTGTAGAATATTTTGACAACAATGATTAGGATACTTGAAAATTGATTCAACTTTTAAGAAAAAATTATGAAAGGCTTTTATTGCCTCAAGACCTACTATAATTTACAGAATAGGAAAAGGCAATAGAAACTACTTTATAGGATGTTTTTAAAATAAGTGGAAAGTCTTTATTATTGTTTTGCTAGCACATAGCCAGGTGATTGTTTTCCAGATTACATTTTTCCACAATTGCCAATTCTGGGAGTCGTTTTCTGGATGCCCTTTTATTCCACTTTACGCCCATGCAAAATGAAACTTTGCACATCATGTTCTACTTTTAATCATGAGCTAAAGGAATCAAAGGGCTAAATTTACGATGGCATAGTTGAAGATAGACCAAACGTTAGGTTTAACTTGGGCAAAGCAGTAAGATTATTATGAGAGCCTTTTCTCTTAGCAACATGAGCGCACTAAGCCCCAATTCAAATAATTCATATATCAAATGCTCGCTGTGTAACTAGCCCATGATAGGCATGGTACCAGCAGGAGAGTTCGCCAACAAAAAAGCCGAGGCTAACGTTAACCTAAACTTATAATAGACAGGTTAAGCCTCGAAAGTCCAAACCTGGATCAAAGTGCGAGCATAATCGAAGGGGTGTGAAAGGAACACATTTCCAATTCGAAGGGCAGTAAAGCCGAATGCAATCAAAGGATCTGGTGGCAGATTCGTTGTCACAGCTGTCGGTACCGGTGCACCATGGGACTTGCCCGCCGCCATGCTTCTCAGTTCTGTCTCCGAAAGGGACAGTGTAGTCAGTCTCTTTATCAGTCTTTTCTTCCAGTGTTTTCCACTTTAGTCAGACAATTTCTCACTCGACTCGGACACCTGTACATGGGATGTTCCTCGCGCTAGTGTCTGAGTCAATCGAAAAATCGTCCAACTCAAACGTGAAAAATACTGTACATGTACAGGTATATCCTTTTCCGACCTGATATCCAACAAAGCAATTTGTTGTCTGTAAAATTACCTCGTGTAAAATGCACCTTTTGTCTAAAAACATGAAAATTAGCTGAAAAAAGACCAAGTAAAATGTATAAAAAAAATAGCTTAAAGCCAAAATGAAATTTAAAAAATATTTAAATGTTGAAAGATACTGAAACAAACCCGTGTCAGACGTGCAACCATCATTAGCTCACTTGGGTTGGAAAGCCCCTTTTAGTATTTTTTTAAATGTAATTTTGGCGTTTATCATTTAATCGAACCGTTTCAAATTCGGCTATGATTGTTTAGATTTCGGCAGTGCTCCTCCTGCCGTTTGTTGTCCGAGAATTTTGGGAATTTGTTTCTGGTGACTGAACATAGTATGCAGAGAATGGAGGGATGGATTTATGTGCTTTAATTCAGCATCGGGAACAGAGATAAATAAATGAAACAGTCAGCAATAGTTTAACATACTGTAGGCAGGAAGTCTCTCCATTCACAATCGGGTGCAGTCAAATCAGGTGATCTGACTGGAAGGGGAATTTGATGATTCCTTGAAATTATTCTTTCACCAAACTTTTGGCGCAATAAATCCATGTTTGAAATGAAGATCCAAAATTTTAGTTCTTTCCGACAAATCCCAGGTATCCATGTTAATTAAAATTCCAATTAACCCTTTGGCGTCGAAGGAGGTGGCGCTTAACCATCTCGAAAATGGTAATTGAAATTAATAGTGTATACAAATGCAAGAGGTGCCAGAAACATCCAGATAGAATTTCGGGGAAAGCCCTTATACGCGACGGATTTAATCAAACTCGCGTAAATATACGTCAACCCCCCTAACATAGGCTGACGTGTATATGCGTCAACCGACGCTTAAGAATGAATAGTCTTCAACCTGAAACAAAGATAAAAGAATTGGAGTTAATATGACAAAAGTTATCTGCAGTTCAAATTGTAGCATGATTCGTGACCCACCCTGTATATTCATTGATTTATTTTCATTCCACCGTCCTTCCCGCATGAAATCCTCGCGCTTGAAGGCACTCGAGGAGGTGAGAAAGACGTCCTCGTAGAAGGGTCTTACCTCGTTTTCATCCCTTTCCCTCGCTCGTCTCCCTTGATCATGTTGTGAAATGTCGTGTATGTGCATTACATTGATTGGGTTGCCACATTTGAATTCAACAAAGCGTGGACGTATGGAAATAGGCGCAAATGCTTGAAGTATACTTTCGTATGCGGCTATACCGTAAATACCCAGAGCTACCTTAAGCCAAGGCGCCAATCGATAGATGACCTGCTGACCTCCCTCTCCATCGAGAGGGAGGTCAGCAGGTCATTGAATGACAACTTGCACAAATTCCTCTCCTTTCCTTGTTTAATGAAAATCTCTACATTTTCATTTTTTTTCCTAATATAACTTCGATAATCGAAAATGAAGTGAGGGTCTAATCTCCGGAACCCAGAGGTGGCCCCATGTATTTGCCGCAGGGGGCCCCGCATTATCCGCGCCGGGCCTGCATGTGAGCCTTCCATTGTTACCCTGTGCCATGATGAGAGACAAGAGTCTGCTGTGCAATTCAATTTTGAGTAAGGCTGTTCAATGACTGATATCGTCCAATTGCTTAAAAAGGACATTTCCATGCGATTTTTTTCATTACTCTGTTCAAAGACTCAAGGAAACAGGAAGGTATCGAAGACCAAAAAAAGTACAAGCCAACCTCATTCCGTTCCCACGCCGGCAGTACTCAACATGTGGATATATCTTTAAAAAAAAAAACAGTGCTTCGTGATGAAACTGTCGCAGAGACTCAATGTGCCCAGTTCTACCTTCCATCGCGCTTTCCAGGAAGACCTTGAACTCAAGGCTTGAAATGAACTTTTAGTTCGTGGACTCAGGAAAATGCAGCTTGATAACTTTAAATTGTTTCTTCCACGTTTCTATTTGACAGGAAGAATCCCATCGTTTTTCTTCGGACGAGAGCTCGTCACAGAACTGTTCGTATAATCCTTAAAGCGCACGTGTGTGTGCAGTCAACTTTGGAGATACTCCGAAGAAAAAAAAAGGATTGTGTTCGATCACCGGAAGCCAGGCAATGTCACGGCTTTGGTAGGCGTATCGGGTAGTGGCAAAGTTAACCAAATCAGGGGTAAAAGTGAATGCTGCTTACTACCAAGGGGAAATTAAAGGAAGTTGTTAAACCCTCAGGTCAGAGGATCGTGAAAACCCTGGCCATGCGTTTTCCAGCAAGATTCAGCGCCGATCCATGAGGCTCAAATCATCCAAGGCTGGTGTTTTTGCTAAGCTTCCAGGGTTCATCAGAGCTGAAGAATGGTCACTATCCTCACCTGACCTGAACTCCATGGATTATTCTGTTTAAGGCACCAGAGTTAACGCCACACCACAGTTTGAGCATTTGACGTGTGTCATTAGATGCATTAGATGCCATTAGAGTGGTTGAATTTCCCACTCGGTCGCATTCTTGCTGACATCGACTGTTTCGCGCGACCGATTGGAGCAGTGCGTGAAATGAGAAGGCGGACATATTGAATGAGTTATTTTTCAAGTCATAAGTCATTCTTGTACAATAAAACCGTGAACTTTCAATTTTCTCCCATTTCTTTTCCTGGGATATTATTTTAAAAATAGGTGAAAAGACCAGTTTTTCTCTCTTCGGACTTTTTGATGCAAATAGACCAGTTTCTTTTCAGTCCTACAATCATTTCTGTAGAATCAAAACTAATGGATATGTAAAGCCCATTCTACAGTGTGACACAAAAGTCACTTGACAAATGAGAAAAACCCCCTTTGCCTAAAATATTTATTTCTGAACTAGCGGAGATGCTCAGTGTTCTCCGTGAACCACAATGCAGTGCTCCAAACGATTCTTTAGTTCATTTCTGACGGCTGCTAGTGTTGCTGGTGTGATTTGCTCAAGAACATGAGTGATGCGGTCTTTAAGGTCTTTGAGGGATGCAGGTTTCGTCATAAACGCAAGCTGTTAAAGATAGCCCCAGAGGAAGAAATCCGGGGGAGTGAGGTCAGGTGATCGAGGGGGCCATGACACAGGTCCACCCCGTACAATCCACTGATTACCAAACAGGTTATTCAGTTTCTGACGGATCGTGAGAGCAAATGGAGAGTGGCACCGTCCAAATGCACTCTGAGAAATCGGTAAATCGAGATGAAATACTTCTCTCAATTTTCGCGTTTCGATTTATTTTTTTTTCAAGAGAAAAAGACATCAACTGGATTTTCGATTTATATCTCTCGCTTCCCGATCGTGCAGGGTCGCCTGAAAGGCGTTCGCAAAACCAAAATGTGTCTATAGCCGAGTCGGAAGGGTGTTTTGAGTGGCACTGCATCGTCTAGGCACATGTTAACCTCCTCATTCCACTTCATCGTGCCGAGGAACCCTCCCCCCCTCCATCCCCCCCATGAACCCTCGGGGCAATGCATTGACAGCCGAGGGATTCACACGCAACCGCCTGAGTGCATGGCCCGGCATGGCCTCTTCGCCACTTCACCTTCCCTCCGACCCGTGCGAGTGGCTCTTGCGTCTCGAAGGGATTCCCATATAACCGCTTACTTCATTCTTCGAGTCCAGTTTCATACGGTGTTTGTATCCGTTTGGTGCGTTGGTGGTGCAACACGTATCGCCGATATGAGATCCGACTGTTAACTATGGATATTTAACAGTCCTTTAGGAATACATGGATTCCTATGGGAGAAAAAGAGCTCCTTCGCTAAAAGCCCCGTTGTCTCCCTTAAATGAGGTTCGTGTATTCGGGCTTTAAGCGCAAAAGCCACTATATTCCCACAATATGACATGTAAGGCAAATTTCGATGTGGCTGAAGTTCATCACGAAATGTTCAATGCGGCAGAAGCGCATAATATTCCTTACCTATACACGCAGAATCAAATTAATGCATTTTCGTCGAGAAAAAAGTTGTCTTCCATGTGATGCGTTTTTATCGCATCCAACATTCGATGCGATAAAGACGCATCACATGCAGGACAGATTTTTTCGCGAGAAAAATGCATCGAACTGAAGCACTGAATTTTCTGTCTGGAACCACATTTTGCGCCTTGTATTCGGTGGCAAATCATGAAGAAAATTAGTTACAGTTGTTCAACACTTGCCCAAATGTGTGTTGGTCCACATGCCCTTCGAAGAAGTGTGGTCCCACAACAATGTCACCAAGCAAACCACACCACACCATCACCTTCTCGGCCCGAAGTTTGTCCGATTGGCGCCGAAAAGTTCATGACAGCGAATTGTAACGCGTATTTAGTGAACACCTACGAAAGCAAAAACAAAGATTTCAGACAGTTTTTTTCCTCATTTGTCAAGTGATTTTTGTGTCACACTGTAACAGTCAGTACTCTCTCTCTTTGACATGGAAAAATGACGAAACCATGGGAAGTATTTATGTGGGGTCATAAGGGTGAAGACTGTTGCTTCTCCTATCTCATGGGACCTCTCATTACCCAATATTATGCGGTCATACACCATTTTTCGGTACCGAAGAATGTAAATTGAGAATGGCCGGTAGAGCCGCGTACCCCTGCGTACTCGACCATTTCAAGTTCTTTCTGTGATCAATTCTGTCACTATGCTGCCATCATTGGGACGTAGGAGGTCCAAGGCACACATCGCATTCCACCTGTGTGCAGACTGAATGTACAGGGTGACACAAAAGTTCTGTACACTCGGTTTTGTTCATATTTTTATAACTTTTTTAGACACCTAGCAAACGGGGACAACACTATTAGAAACTACGACTATTTCGACAGATATACAAGCAAAATCACTCAAAACGACCACCTTTTGCTTTCACACAATCGCAAAGTCTTTTTGGAAACGCATCGACTGCAGCACACAGCATTTCTTGGGGGATTTAATTTGAGACATTCCCTTTGAAGGGCACGCTTCAGGGACTCGACCGATGCTTGTGGAGTAGCACAGGCTTTGTTCTCCAAGATGCTTCACTTAGAAAAGTCCATCGGATTCATATCGGGACTATGCGGAGGCTATTCTACCGAGGTTATAAAGTCGGGGAATTCTTCTGAGTGATATATGCCTTGTGGGCTGGCGCAGAGCCCTGTTGAAAAGTCCACTTGCGGTTTCCAAAGTGCTGTTTGGCCCAGGGCTTCACTGTGCCCTCCAGGATGAGGTCACGGTAGCCAATGGCGTTGATCTTAATGCCAGAAGGCACAAAAATCAGTGGTGTGCGCCCCTCTGCAGTGATACTCGCCCACACCATCAAAGAAGCTGGCAACTGAGTCCGAGTAACACGACGGAGGTCTGGAGAGATGCCTGACGACTCTGCTGCCCATACTCGGTCATTTTTGGAGTTAAAAGGATTGCTCGATCGTGAAGAGCTTCTCGTTAGAAAAGAGGATATTGCGATAGCAGCCATCTGCGAACCGACGATCGTTACAACCTGGTTTTCTTCGCTTGTTCCGTGAGAATTTGAGCATTATGGAGCTTGAAAGGCCGGAGATTCAGCTTGTTCTTGACAATTCGCCGAAACAATTCGAGATTTATCTTCGTCGTTTGGGCCATTTTTCTCAGCGATTGTTTCGGATTGCGACGAAGTCGAGATCTAACTCTTTTGATGTTGGCAGTGGTTGACACAGACTTCGGTCGACCCGATCGATGACGATCTCCAGTAGAGTTTGTCTCAAGGAACCGCTCGATAGTACGTTTGATGAAGTTCCGGTTGTAACCGTTGTTCTGGAGCAGCTGGAAGATCTCAGAGGAAGACTTCCCAGTTTCATGCAAACTGACAACAGCAGACCGACGATCTTCATTGGACAATGACATGACGAAACTGATAAAGGGTTCACAAGGTGCTGATGGTCCCTCATACCTTAGGCTATACATAGAAACCAAGCCAAACATGATCGAACATGGTAGCTCAGAACCAAGAACGGTTTTTTTAAGTGTGCAGAACTTTTGCGTCACCCTATATTGTGGAAAAGAAATTTAATCGCGCGAGCGTCTCTAATGCATGAAGCCAGGGGGTATCAAACTTTGTCAACCCTTAATGAGGATAGCAAAAACAAGTCTATATGCAGATCGATTAGAAGCATTAGGGGAACTGTGCTTCCTCTTTGGCACGTTTACACGAGATGGCATCCACCTTTTGAGAGTCGGGGAACACAAGAGAAAAGGGGGGTTTTGTTCCTTTATTGAAGGACTTCTGTGCTTTGGATCCTAGGCTTCACGGGGTGAGAAAATTTCCAATCCTCCCCAGTTTCGAGACTGTCAGATGGAGATGCTCTATAGAAAGGTGTGGATGCAGAAGTGCAAGTCCTGGACAGGGAGGATCCTTTGTCTTCTTCGACATTCTCTTCCTCTCCCCCCCAATCATTCGCGTCTTTCACTTTCCCCAGTCCTCTGATTGAGTTGGCAGCATTCAGATGAAGAAGTTGGCAGGGAACGCCGAGAGAGCAATCAGCATCCTCATCCTTATGGCAATCATAGGGGTTATCGGAGATAAGAGGCGGATCCTTCCCAACGTAGAGATGGGAATATCCCAGACTCAGATCGCATTGGATCCCTTTAACTCTGTGATAAAAGTTCCTTCGTCTTCCTGCTGCCGTCCGCACCCGGGAGATGCACTCTGATACTAATAGGAAATGTGAAGAAAGCCTTGCATCCATGTTGGAGACGTGCGAGCTCAAATTATCGATGGCCAAGGCTGAAAATCGGAGAACGTAGATGAGTAGACACTCATTTGAAGAGAAAAGCACTCATAGACAACACTGAGTCGTAGGAATATCTACGGGGAAACAAACTTTACGCTTTGAGATGCAGGCGACAGCA